AAGGCCCTAAACCGGATACAGCCCCCAGTGTAAAAATTGACTACTTATATTATATATATATATATATATATATATATATATATATATATATATATATTTATATATATATATATTATAATATATTATATAATATAATATATATTTTATATATTATATTAATTATATATATATATTATATATATATATATATATATATATATATATATATATATATATATATATTTATATATATATATATATATATATATACTATATATATATATTTATATATATATAATATATTTATATATATATATATATATATATATATATTATATTTAATATAGATTATTTGATTTGTAATATAGCAACTCATATATCATATATAATCAGAAATTTTTATATATATATTTATATATCATTTATAACAAAATATATTTATTATTTATAATATATATATATTATATATATATATAGATTGTACTAAAATATATTTTTATATATTATATTATACTAATTTTAATATATATTTTACATATATAATATATATAAATATATATTTTTAATATATAATATATTTTATAAATAAATATAATATAAATGGTCGTGCCATATATCAATTTGCATATTCTTGGCTTACAATAGCAAATATTTCATATATAATAATATATATATTTATATAATATATTATTGTCATAATATATTCTACATATACAAAAATAATTATTTAACTATGTTATGTTGTGGTAAATTATGTAAACAAATTTATTCAGTTTGGGTTGATGACTTACAACTAAATCTGCATTTGCTTATAATAGCGAGTAAGATTTCTGCTATGCAATTCTTTGGTCGCAAAATTTCATCTGACATTACCTAGCAAAAAAATATATTTCCCTGTAAGTTATAGTAGGACTTAATTTTTTTAAACGGATCTAATATTAATGAGTTAGTGCTAATTACAGTTGTTACATGGTATGGGACGTACATATGGCACTAACTATTAAGGGAATATATGTATGGGAATAATATATAAGATTACATATATATGAATAAGTATACATAATATATGACGTATTATGGACATAATATTATATGTATAGGAATACATATGTCTGTAATACAGTGTACAAGGGACAAACTCATATGGTTGAACACATGATTATTTGGTGATAGAATAAGTATGATGAAATATACACTCAATGTGATATCAATGTATGGGAATAAAATGATTGCGCTATGATGAAGGACTAAGTTGTGCAACTTCTAGCATGATAAAGGACCGACAGAGTTTCCCAATGCTGGATAGGACAGCACTGTGATGGGCGCCAACTCTCTATGACCACACCTCATTTACAGGACCCAATTTGATTTATCGTCAATACTTGTTGGGACTTTGTATATTCTCTTTTTAAATTTGGCGTATCAATCACAAATCTACTGAATAGGAGTGACAGGCGCTCCTGATGGGACTCACAGTGGTGATGGACGCTCACCAATGGGGCACTCACACTAGTAACCCGGACACTCACAGTGGAGGGGACACTCACATTAGTAACGGGACACTCACAGTAGTGATGGGACACTCACAGTGATGGGACACTCACAGTAGTGATGGGACGCTCACAGTGGTGATGGGACACTCACAGTAGTGATGGGACGCTCAGAGTGGTGATAGGACACTCACAGTAGTGATGAGACGCTCACAGTGGTGATAGGACACTCACAGTGGTAATGGGACACTCACAGTGGTGATGGGATATCACAGTGGTGATAGGACACTCACAGTGGTGATGGGACGCTCACAGTGATGGGACGCTCACAGTGGTGATGGGACGCTCACAGTGGTGATGGGACACTCACAGTAGTGATGGGACGCTCAGAGTGGTGAATAGGACACTCACAGTAGTGATGAGACGCTCACAGTGGTGATGGGACACTCACAGTGGTGATGGGGCGCTCACTCTCTAGTGTCGTTTACATTCACCTCGATTATACCTTGGATTCCACCACTGATTTTTTTTTATTTCCGTTACGATACTTTTGTTATATTCTTTGTAGTATCTTTATGGCTTAAAACTGGTATATAAATGCACACAGACACGAACACACACACAGGCGCGCGGACACACACACACACACACACACACAACAACACACACACACACACACACACACACACACACACACACACTACAGAACACACTCACACAACAAACAAGACACACAGCAAAGAGACATAGAGATTGAGAGAGAGAGAGAGAGAGAGAGAGGAGAGAGAGAGAGAGAGAGAGAGAGAGAGAGAGAGAGAGAAGGGACAGAGAATGATAGAGCGAGGGAGTAAGGGAGGGAAGAAGAGCGAAAGGGACTAGAAGATGGAATTCAACTTCATACCAAGGTACCAACACTCTCCCATTCATTCTTACCGCTGCTCCAGCATTACCATCATGGTACCTAGAAGTCATCCTTTGTATTTTCACAGGAGGTAATGTGACCTGCCATCGTTTTCTCCAGCTGGTATTTCCTATCCATGAGTGTCTTATTCATCAACTTGCTTATTGTTCCTTCGACAATATATACTGCTCAACTTTCCACTGACACTCCAAACTTGTATAGAGATACACAACGAGACCAAAACAACTGTAGACACTGCAACAGAATTTGTTTGTTTATATAGACCAGTTAGTGTGGTCATCATCAAGGCAAGCGTGGTGGGAATTTCTGACGCGATCATGTTAATTATGCGAAAAAAATATGATTTTGGGTATTTTACAGAAAAATCGTGTAAGTATCTGGCAACATTTTGGTGGAAAACCCCATCGTAATACGATGTTTCTAAAACAAATTATAGGTACAATATTTTTTTTTTAGGAATGCATTGAAATTTTATCTTGATTTCTTGCTAAATTCAATTCTTAACTAAGAATGGAATTACACAGAGAGGTATCTCTCATTGTATATACGTAACTGTGTATCTCTCACTGTATGTACATAGTGACTTTGTATACTAGTTATATTCATTTATATATATATATTATATTCATATATTAATATATTATATATTTATATATATATATATATATATATTATATATGTCGTGCCGAATAGGCAGAACTTGCGATCTTGGCTTAAATAGCAACGCTCATATTGCCATATATGACAAGCGAAAATTTGTGTATGCAATAATTTCGCCAAAATCATTCTGAACCTAACGAAAAAAATATATTTCACTGCGTTTGTTTAGTATTAAATTATTGTAAACAAATCTAAAATATATTTAGTTGGGTTAGGTTAAAATAAATTGTTCTTGTTATAATAAGGTTAGGTAAGTTTTCTAAGATTCTTTTCGTGCAAAATTATAAATTTTTACATTATCATTAATGAAAAAAATATATTTTTAAACGTAAAAGAGAAAATTTCTAAAAGGACTTAATTTTAAATGAGTTCTTGCTAATTGACCAGTTTTACATATTCGGCACGACATATATATATATATATATATATATATATATATATATATTATATATATATATATAACACAAGTCACAGTGAGGTTTCTCTCTCGCCTGCTCTTGCGAATTCCTTGCATTGTTAAAATCTCTAGTTGGTTGATGCATGCAGGGGATGAGATGAAAAGCTGTAAGCCTTCTCCCTGAAAGCTGGCTGCCTTGGATCAACGTCTAGCCTGAGCTGGGCGCCTTGGTATTGGTCCAGTGTGGTGAAAATGGTAAAGCACTGCGTACCTTGTTCCAAGGTTCGTAGGTTCGAGTCTCCTTCGGCCAGAGATCAGTGTTTGTGTATATTTCGCCTGCTCTTGCAATTCCTTGCACACACACACACACACACCCCACACACACACACACCACACACACAATATATATATATATATATATATATATATATATATATATATATATATATATATATATATATATATATATATATATATATATATATATACAGTGAGGTGTTTCTCTCATTGTGTATATATATAGAGAGAGGTGAGGTTTGTATCATTGTATATACAGAGAGATGTGTATCTCTCATTGCATCTATACAGTGAGAGGTATTTACCATAGTGAATATAAGCTAAGAGTTCACTTTAACCTCAATTTAATATACGGACTGCAGTATTCTGATTGGCGATGTACAGGTGACTGTCGTGTAGTTAACAGGTTTAAGCTCAGTACACCAACCAACTAAAAACAATGCTTTTATTCTTCTTTATCACTTTCTGTGAGTATTATGTAATTTTTGTGTATCTTAAATGGACATCGTATACATAGTGTTCTCTTTTTTATCATCATCTTAATCTCCATCTTCTTCTTCTTTTGGAGAAGCGCTACAGAACCTGGATACTTCTTCATTATCGGGATTGAGGCACCCTTTTCCTTTAAAGAGTATTTAGTGTAGTATCGATGGCTCTTCCTCATCCACCATGCATTATCCGTCCTCTAGTAAAGAACTACTTTTAATAAATAAATAAGTTTTGCCATTACGATCAGTATCTCTTAATAGAGATCTTTTCGGGTAACTGTAATTCCATTTATCCATTCAAGTTTTCCTGGGACGTAAGCGGCAATTTCCATAACTTTATTCTCGAAATTTGTTGGTATACTTTAGTCAGACCAGAAATCTTAAAACTAATCATCATAAAAGTGAATTCGTTGTTATTTAATATATATTACACTTGTTGTAGTGTTGGTCTTGGTAGGCTGGAAAGGCACAAAGATAATTACTGAAGAGTAATTAAAAAAGTCACAAGTAACCTACAACTTTGCAATGAGAAGTGGAGGACGCATCGGTCCATCCTCAACGGTGATCTAGTAGCCATTGACCAAAGCATCGTCCAGTTTATTTCGTATTTGTGGATTATCCAACAATTGCTTCACGTCGCCATATCTGTGAGATGTAAATTTTTCCAACTACGGTATTGGGACATTTATTAATTTTTACACAAGAATGAATTTATTTTAGATCGATATTTCTTCTAAACTAGCCTAATCGTTAATGCTTCTTCACAGTGATAGACTCGTGGGGCAAGCTGCCGGATGGGTTCCTGTTCGGCAATGTAAGAGCCTCGGGCATGTTTGAAGAATGTATCAAGGTGGAAGTCCATTACAACTATACTTATGGTCTCTTCTTTAAAAAGCATGAGCTCAGGAACTACACCGGGCGTTACTGCAACATCTACTACCAGTGAGTGACTCATCTGTGCATTTTTATGGCCTGTTTTGATGTTTTCTGTGTGCTGTTTGGTCTTTCTTTTTTTGTGGCGTGTTGTTCTTTCTGTGTGGGGTTTAGTGCCTTGTCTGTGGATTTTGGAAAACTAGGTAATGTTTAGTGTCTTTTTTTTTATACCTTTGCCTAGTGTATGGTACTTTCTGTGTGCTGTGCATAATTTATTCTTTCTGTGCTGTGCATAATTTATTCTTTCTGTACTGTGCATAATTTATTTCGTGCATTTTGTTTTATACATACTTCTTGTCTTATCTGTCTGTGCTGATTTTTTCCTTCTTTACTAATGTCTCTCTTGAGTGAAATGTTATTTTATCTCCCTTTATTTGTTGATGTCTTTCTTGATCTTTTTCGCTTTTGTGTGGACTCTAACATCTTTTCCTTTCAAGGTAAATTTTATTCTTAAACCTTCGGTGTTGCTATGGACTCTACTGTTGCTAACATATATATATGGAACACTTCGAAACTGTTCGTCTTCCTACGATTGGTGTGAGCCTTTCCTTCTTCCAGAGCTCTGGCTATGTAGACGATATCTTTGCTCTTTGGCTCCATGACTCTAGTCAATTCCTACCTTTTTGCGATGTCCTTAACAGTCTTGCTTCTTCCATCAAGTTTAAAACTGAATGGGAATCTAACTCTCTGCTTCCTTTACTTCGTGTACATGTTCATCAGTCGGCTTCAGGCTTCTCTTTTTCCGTTTCAATAAACGGAAAAAGAGAAGCCTGAAGCCGACTGATGAACATGTACACGAAGTAAAGGAAGCAGAGAGTTAGATTCCCATTCAGTTTTAAACTTGATGGAAGAAGCAAGACTGTTCACAGTGGCATGTACACTCACTACTTTTCTTGCCATGCTCCCTCTGTCAAAAAAAGTGTTCTTATTTCTCTCTTTCTCCGTGCCCTTCGCAATTCTGACGCTCAATTCATTGACTCCAAAACTTCAGCTCTTTACAGCTCATTCTCCCCTCAAGGAAGGTTCCTTGATACTGGTGAGGGGCTCTTGATCTAGGGAATTGGATCTCTTCTCCAGTTCCCTGAATTAAACCTGAATACCTTCCACACCCCCCCCCCAGGCGCTGTATATTCCTACGGGTTTAGCGCTCCCCCTTGATTATATTAATAATAATAACAGCTCATTCTCTCGTCTTGGCTATCCTTCCGACTTCATAAACTCTGCCTTCTCACGTGCTAATTAAACGGACTTTCTTCTCTGCCAAATGCCCTGTTCTCTGTCTTTCCTATATTTCCACTCATTCTGATCTCAACAACTCTCTCCGTTCCTTATACATCAAACTTACTTTTAGCCAAACTAACACTCTTCCCAGTAATCTAGTTCGTACCTCACCTCCTGCTATTGATGCCTCCGGAGTCTATTCTATTTCCTGCTCCTCTTGTCCTCTTCACTACTTTGGAGAAACTGGCTGCTGTCGTTCTGAAAGACTTAAAGAGCACAAAAGAAGTGTTAGAATTACCGACACCAGTAATGCTCTTTTTTTCTCATGTTAGAGATCACAGTCATCCTATTGACTGGTCTTCCGTTAAATCTACCCTTCCAACTTTCTTAGACGCCGTCTTACTGAAGCATCCATTATACACAACTTCCCTAATATGAATCCTGGCATTGCCTCTGTAGATGCCTTCCTTTCTTATTACATTGTCAAATACTCCAAACGTCAGAACACTCTCAACTTGACCTAATCTGTTCTTCTTCTCTCCTTACCTCTTCTTCTGATTCATGGAAATATAAACACATATGCAGTATAATGTGATCCTTTATTGACAACGTTTCGCCCACACAGTGGAACTTTTTCAAGCCATAAACAGATCTGTTTGTGGCTTGAAAAAAGCCCACTATGTGGGCGAAACGTTGTCAACAAAGGATCACATTATACTGCATATGTGTTTATATTTCCATTGTGACGGTATTTTATACCATTTACTTCCTTCTCCTGATTCATTTTTCTTTGTCTTCCTTTCTTCTGCGTAGGTGTGTTCTGTCCTTCAGTTTTTACTTTCCCTGTGTTTTTGATCCCATCCTTGTGGGCCATTTACTCTCCTGTAGTGTTCCCTTTCTTGTCCTTAGACTTACTCCACTTCTACTTTTACCATTACTACTACAATACTGCTACTACTCCATTACTACTACTACTCCTTTACTACTACTACTACCACTACTGCTTCTACAAATACTACTTCTGCTACTATTACTTCGCTTCACTCCCCTTTCTATCACTACTCCATTTACTTACTGCTATCACTACTACTTCATCTACTACTTCCTCTACCATTACTTCTCCTCTTCCTTCCTTCTTCCTCTCTGTCCCATCCTTGTCCCCCTCTCCTAAGTATTCTGGCTCCCTCACCGTCTTGTGTTAGTGAGACTTGTAAATAGCCCAAGTTAGACCGAAATGTCATCATAATCTTCTCTCTCCTATATACGGGTTATTTGTGCATTGTTCTTTCTTTTCGTAAGTTTCCCGATGCTTGCTTTCTTTGCTGATTTAATATTTTTTGTCATTCGACTGTCTTCACTACTTGATTCAGGTTTTGTAATGATACATATTAGATTTAACAGTAATCTCGTATAAACAATACATGTGAGATTGTGTAAATTTGTACGAGATTATAAGCTGACCGAAACTAATATTCACCGACTCACTTCGTTGATAAATTGTTCTGTGATTACAGAGTCATCAAAACCAATGTAAAAGACTTTTAAAGCGTTTTAGAAATTAATAGTTGTTGAGTAAAACCGAAAAAAATTACCTAGTCATATTTACACTTCTATTCCCAAATATTAGAGTTATAAGCAACCGTTAAGAGGATTTATAACAATTAATTGTATGTGGATTTGATTAAGAAATAAAACCATTAACATTAAATACACTTTTAAAATACCTATAAGTTAATAAATAACAAAAAAGGCACAATACCGTGACTGGAACGATCATGTCAAATACCCGCACGAAAGCGGAAGCTTACTTGACGAGCGGTTTTGTGTGACAACTGTATGGTTCAAGGCGGACCGAAAGTCGTCGTAAGCTTCTCCAGCTATGTGGCGGGAGTATTTGTGACCATGAGGGTTAGAACAAACATGATTCATAGTATGTTCCACTAGGCAGGGCAGCAGGGAGAGTCAGTAGATATGTGCCCAGCATGGACGGGTGTAGGGACACCAGGGAGAGTCAGTAGCTATGTGCCCAGCATGGACGGATGTAGGGACACCAGGGAGAGTCAGTAGCTATGTGCCCAGCATGGACGGGTGTAGGGACAATAGGGAGAGTCAGTAGTGAGTAGTTACAAATTAGGTTTCATTGAGAAATGAGGTGCTTCTGTATCAGGTCGCAGTTCTCTGAGAACACTGTGCAAAGAAACATTACTCGTCCCCACTAAATTATTAATAGATAGCATCATTAGTTGGGTTCGAGAATCCCAAAATCGTGTTGGTCAAAATGAAGTAGAGTGTAATCCGAAATCTGTCTAAAGGCGGATTTGTTGTGAACACAAAACAATAAGACAGTACTTATTCGGCATATGGAAAGTTTCAGCAAAGGCAGTGTCTCAGTACCTGTGTTTGTAATGACCAGTGTACATATTACTTGGTGATTGTTACCACCACAAGTGCTTTAAAAAAAGACCTGTTAGGCCTGGCTTTAAAAAAAAAGGATACCAGTGTTGGTCAATCAATAGTCTGTTCAAGAAAATGACCAATAAAGTATATACCAGGTGCTAACTTTTGAGAACCGTATATTCCAACCACCAAACTTATTCATAAATACGTTCAATATGTATAGTGGGTTTAACAAATACCATAACGCAAGTGAGGTTTGGCGAAGAGAGAGAGAGAGAGAGAGAATCAATAAATATATAAAGAATTAATGATAAATGTCACGAGTTACAGTATTTAGAGAGCCACTCGGAGAAGAGGCTCTCTCTGGTGTTAAACATCCTGAGGCTTGCGAGTAACTACAGCTCTGAGATGGCCCTAGGAGTGAGGTATCCTATTCTGAGACCCACTTCCTCTCCCTGACTGGCAGATCTCCAGCACAACTCGTAGTTGCCCCGTATGCGAATGATGCAAATATTCACTTGGATAACAGCAACCATGCTTTTAAAGCTGGTTGCTGATGGTATGCAGGATCATGGTTACATATAATGCACCTCGAATATGTGCTTGACCTACACCACAGTGTCTAACAAGAAAAATTAAGTATGCAGAGACTTTCTTTAGGATATAGACGCAAACCTAAACCAAGAAAATAATATACTTAACATTGATACTTATTACCTTAAAATGACTGTATTAAGACTTAAAGTAAAACAACGAATTAGTTCTTTTTTTTTTTTTTTTTTTTTTTTTTTGCTATATGTTGTCAACAGTGGAAAAATCAGAGACCTTAGAAAAGTATCTCTATAATACCTGGTGACGCCAACAAGCCAAGTACATTAATTCTCTCCACAGTCATAATATAAAAAGCGAGTGGAGCATTTAATGTAAATTTGTCTGTGGAAGAAGCAACTGCGTAAATAAAATCCAGCGGGGATGGTCTTTGGGAGGATAGAGGATTTTCAGTTGCAAGTTCACACAGCTGTTGGATTGTTATTCTCAGAAGAGTAAAATCGCCACAGCTGGTCCTTCCCTGTTAGGTTCCTAGATCCAGTATCTCTCAGTTCCACAGGGAATGAAAGGTAGAGTTATTTGGCCAGATTTGTTAATATCTATGATTGGTAAGTGTCATGTGAATTTTCGATAAGAGGTCACGCATATAAAAAATTTTTATTTTATGGCGTGTTTGCCCCAGCTTTTTTTTTTTTTTTTTTTTTTTTGATTTGGTTGAGTTAGAATTACGGTTGAGTTATGACAGAATTACGGAGGTATTGGAAGAAGACCAAAACGCGGATGTGATCTACACAGATTTTGCAAAAGGCTTTTGACAAATGCGATCATAGTGATAGCGCATAAAATGAAGGTCATGGACATTACGGGGGAGGTAGACAGGTGGGTTTTCGGGTTCCTAACACACACAACACAAAAATTAGTAAACAGAGCAAGATCCAGCATCAGCGAGGTCTAAAGCTCAGTGACCCAAGGCACTGTCCTGGCACCTCTGCTGCTTCTCATCCTCATAGCAGACACAAATAAAAACACCCATCACACTTTTGTATCATCATTTGCAGATTACACTAAAATAAGCATGAAAGTCAATACGGTAGAGGACACTGAAAATTTACAGGAACACATAAGCAGGGTTTTCCAGTGGGCAGTGGAGAACAGTATGATGTTCAATGGTGTCAGCTGCTTAGGTATGGAAAGAATGAAAAACTCCAAAGGAACACTATATACAAAACTCAAGAGGGTCACCAAATAGAACGTAAGGAACACGTACAAGACCTAGGAATAATTATGTCAGCGGACCTTTCTTTTAAAGACCATAACAAGACAAAGATCACGACAGCCAGGAAGATGACAGGTGGGTAATGAGAACTTTCAAAAACAAGGGAAATAATGCCGATGGTGACACTCTTCAAATCATTAGTGCTCCCTCACTTAGAATATTGCTCAGTGCTGACGGCCCCGTTCAAAGCAGGAGAAATATCGGAGCTGGAACAAATACAAATATCGTTTACGGTCCTGCGCAGCCTAATTAGCTAGGAACCACAAGATGAACTGCAGCGAGCATGCGGCGTATATTCGGGATTCAAGTCGTACCGAAACGTCCCATTACAGTGCCTACTCTCTTTGGTGAGAGTAATATGTGGATTGTATCCAGTAGGTAGTTGCGTTGTTGTGACATTGATATATTATTGTAGGTACGAAGTAGATGACTACAGCGGGTATTTCCGTCAAGGTGATACCGACTGTCCATTCTTCTAGTTAGTGGTCTTGGCAAACGTTCCGCCGGATGAGCGTATGTTCATAAACATGAGGTGAGCGGAAGTGAGACAAGGAAGCAAGTAACATGTCATTTAGGATGGGAAAACGCGTGGAGAGCGAATGTATAAAGAACGGAAGGAGGAGGAATAGTATGAAGGAAGGAGAAGAGTAGAAGGAGGGAGTATAGTAGTAGTAGTAGTAACAGTAGCAGCAGTAGTATTGGTAGTAGTAATAGTGGTGATGACGGTGGTGGTAGTAGTACTAGCAATGGCAGTACGGTTCATGTCAGACAGTAACGTAGTACGGGTTATTTATGTATTGTCCTAGCCACGGTATTGAGCGTTTTAGTCTTTAATGAGGGTTTATACTTAATATTAAATAACGTTAACATTACATGCAGCAGTAAGGATGCACATATTTAGAAAGTCACATTTGAACAGTCTCGTTTTGCCTATTATGGATCAAACTGCTAAAATCTTCCTTGTAAACTCACAAGATATTAACATTTTTATTATGATGATCATTTACACTAGTGGACGAGGAAGGATGACCTGATGGCACCCAGTGAAACTAGCTCATTCCTGTCGACGACTGCTCACCCAGGCTTGACGAGACAGGGATTTGTATTTTAATATCCACCAGGTTAATCTCGAAGTTCTTCCACACAAGTCTTAAGTCTTGATGGAACCTGAAGTCCTGCATTACGCTCGTGGATGGGTTACTTGGCATGTGGTTTTCTTAGATGTGTTGTGATCCTTCAAGTGTATCTAGATATAATTAGTTAAGGGTTGTGGGGATAACTAGTAACACAAGTACTGGGGTAAACAAACATCTGGATGCAGATGTTTGTCTACCCGAGTACTTGTGTTACCAGTTTGTATTTGGGGATAAATTTTAGTGTGTGTGCGCGTGTGTGTGTTGGGGGGGGGGGTTCAGGAGTTACTGTGAGGGGAGGGGTAAGGCGCGTGCGTGTGGGAGGGGGAGGAAGCGGCGTGTGGGGGATGGTATGTGCATGGGAGTATAAAACCTTTTATTGCATCGCGCGTTGAATGAAATTTTGGTCCCAACGCTGTGCAATTTTACAACTCCCTTAACATTTTTACGTCTCTTGCAGGCCTAACTTGTCGTTTAACAAGACTAAGAGTGTCTCTCACGCCTTCGTCGGGAGTGGACTAGCCTTTGTTGAGTTGGCGTCACCTCTGCCCTTCTCCTACGCCACCTGCATGCCATCCACCTGCACCTCTGAGGACCTCCTGGTATGTTATTCTCATCCTCTCATCCAAGTATTTATACTCTCCCGTTTATCATTCATCTCAGCCACTCATCCACCGTTTCTCTTGCCTCTTCTGAACCACTCTCCTGGCCACCACTCGTTCACCACCTCTGTCACCCACCTGTCATCCATCGCCTGATATTCATCTGTCCTCTAGCGCCTGCGCACCAGTGCCAGAATTGTCCTGGCGATTCTATAATGGTACTTGCTAGTCAGCAGACTTCAGTGCTGACGGTGGTGGAGACATTATCGAGGACTGACACCCGTCACGTTATGGCCAACTATTTTGCATTTTCAAAGGCCCTTCTTTGTGAGCCTTTCATAAAACTTTTACTACTTGGCCATTTTTTTAAATTTTAGCTAAAAAAAAATGCTGTGCCTCTTTCAGTCGTACTTTCTTTCTTATTTTGAATGTTTTGTAATAATTGTTTGTATAATTCCTTGTTTATTTCTATAGTCGATTATTGCTTTAGACTTCTTGAGGCCCGGGAATTTAAAAAAAAAATACCTAAGGACTGTAAAACACAGGCAAGAAAGTCAGACATTTCATTTGATAACCTACCACTTTAAATAGTGCTTCATAAATCTATTAAGGGCGAAACGTCGTCTTAAAAAGACTGATATATGTTTTACTTTCCTAGTTTGTTAGCTGCTGACCATCCACTACAAATTTAGTGATGCATTTATCGTCCAATTTCCATTAAAATGGAACGAAACCCACAGTGTGATATGTTATTCATGAATGAGGTGGATACGAAGCACTGGTACGCCAGTGGTTGATGACTGATACCAAATATTACTGGTACGCCAGTGGTTGTTTGATGACTGATACCTAATATTTTTACTCCAGTGGTTGCTTAATGACTGATACCTAATACTTGTACGCCAGTAGTTGCTTAATGACTGGTACCTAGTACTGGAACGCCAGTGGTTGCTTGATGACTGATACCTAATACCTGTACGCCAGTGGCTGCTTAATGATTGATACCTAATATTACTGGTACGCCAGTAGTTGCTTCACGATTGATACCTAATACTAGTATACCATTGACTGATACCCAGCACAGGTTAATCAGTAGCTTTTAAGCCACTGAGCGGATCAAAATACATCCCGCCAGAGATGAAAACTGCATTCATGGCAGTAGAGAGCACTAATTTTTCAGAGACCGTGAAAGTCAGAGACTTCAGGTGAGCAGCAATTATTTTTCGAGATGAACTACTTCGTAAACATTTCCAGCTTTAACTGCTGCATCACCAATAGCTTGGTTGGTCAAAGACTGGGTGGTTTTTCACCACTCTTTGGGCTAGGCAATTTACAAATATTTTGCTAAGCAAAAATCGCAAACAAGTGATACAGGATGCAAAACAACCACGACGGGAGTTGAATGATATCATTCAACTCCCCTCGTGGTTGTTTAGCATATGTTTCTATGTATGTATGTATGTACCTATGTTTACCTGTATTTAAATTTACCACCTCCTTTCAAAACAAGCTACTACCCACCAGGATGCCGTTCACAACAGTCGGCTAACACCCAGGTGCCTATTTACTGCTTCAGCGGCAACATGTATACGGAGGCTTCCCTATATATCTCAACCAGGCCGAGAAACGAACCCGGACATATCGGTTGCGAGACGAACACCCTAACAGCCTAGTTAGTGTGTGATGAGGCAGGCCTGAGTACACATACGTGACATTAGCTCAAAACGGCCTCTAGGGCAGGAGATGCTGCCATCCCTGGGATAACGAAGCGTCCTTCTTCATTTATTAACTAGCCATCTCCCTTAATGGGGTCAGGAAGGTCTGGGGGAATTCTCCACGCCTTGCCCTCAGACGGAAGCTCCAGAGTTTATCAGTAGAGTATTCCAGCAATGTGCTGGAACAGTGCAGTGTAACATTGTACTGTAACAGTGTGCTGTAACAGTGTGGTTTAACATTTTGCTGTAACAGTGTAATGTAGTAGTGTACCGTAGCAGTATGCTGTGACAGTGTATTGTAACATTGGTTTGTTGGAGTGTACTATAGCAGATTTTTGTTACAGCGTATTATAACAGTGTGATGTAACAGCGTACTGTAACAGTGTGTTGAAACAGTGTGATGTATGAGTGCGTTGTAACAGTGCACTGTAAAAGAGTGCTGTGACAATATACTGCAACAGTGTACCGTAAACCTTTAATGGAACAGTGTACTGTAAACCTTTAATATAACAGTGTATTGTAACAATATATCGTTGCAGTGTAGTGTAGCTATTTAGTGTAGCAGTGTGGTTTAGCAGTGTGTCGCAGCAGTGTAGTGTAGTATTGCATTGTAGGAATGAGCTTCAGCAGTTTGTTGCAGCAGCAGTGTGTTGTAGCAACAGTGTGTTTCAGCAGTGTTTGTAGCAGCAGTGTGTTTCAGCAGTGTGTTGTAGCAGCAGTGTGTTGTAGCAGCAGTGTGTTTCAGCAGTGTGTTGTAGCAGCAGTGTGTTTCAGCAGTGTGTTGTAGCAGCAGTGTGTTTCAGCAGTGTGTTGTAGCAGCAGTGTGTTGTAGCAGCAGTGTGTTGTAGCAGCAGTGGTCAGTGTGTTTCAGCAGTGTGTTGTAGCAGCAGTGTGTTTCAGCAGTGTGTTGTAGCAGCAGTGTGTTGCAGCAGTGTGTTGTAGCAGCAGTGTGTTTCAGCAGTGTGTTGTAGCAGCAGTGTGTTCCAGCAGTGTGTTGTAGCAGCAGTGTGTTTCAGCAGTGTGTTGTAGCAGCAGTGTGTTTCCAGCAGTGTGTTGTAGCAGCAGTGTGTTGTCAGCAAGTGTGTTGTCAGCAGTGTGTTGTAGCAGCAGTGTGTTGTAGCAGCAGTGTGTTGTAGCAGCAGTGTGTTGTAGCAGCAGTGTGTTTCAGCAGTGTGTTGTAGCAGCAGTGTGTTTCAGCAGTGTGTTGTAGCAGCAGTGTGTTTCAGCAGTGTGTTGTCAGCAGTGTGTTGTAGCAGCAGTGTGTTGTAGCAGCAGTGTGTTTCAGCAGTGTGTTGTAGCAGCAGTGTGTTGTAGCAGCAGTGTGTTGTAGCAGCAGTGTGTTGTAGCAGCAGTGTGTTGTAGCAGAAGTGTGTTGTAGCAGTGTGTTTCAGCAGTGTGTTGTAGCAGCAGTGTGTTATAGCAGCAGTGTGTTTCAGCAGTGTGTTATAGCAGCAGTGTGTTTCAGCAGTGTGTTGTAGCAGCAGTGTGTTCCAGCAGTGTGCTGTAGCAGCAGTGTGTTGTAGCAGCAGTGTGTTCAGCAGTGTGTTGTAGCAGCAGTGTGTTGTAGCAGCAGTGTGTTCCAGCAGTGTGTTGTAGCGGAGGCTTCGCACAGTGTCAGTTGGTCAGTGGATGACATCTCTATCACAGAATATTTGATAGCGTTGCTCACTGACCTCCACTTTTGTTGCAAATGTTTAACAACATATCACTTCAACAGTGGTGTAAGTTTCTCTAGGAATGTTCTCCTTTTATTGAAGAAGAGCTCTTGTTCCAAGGAATTCAGGTTGCCTTACATTTCCTTGCATCATATGAGACTACCGTATTTTTCGGCATATAAGGCGCACGAACGTGTAAGACATATAAGAAAGAAGGAACACTGCAACAGGCCTATTGGCCTATGTGAGGCAGGTCCAATTCTCTCACCGGCTTAAGCCAATTCCTTGACCTAGTCAGGTCAGACACGTCACTTAAGGGAGGAGCACGGCATCCGACCTAGTAGCACAAGCTAGTCAGGTCCAACTCACACCCACCCACACCCACTTATGTATTTATCCAACCTTTTTTTAAACTTACACAACGTCTTAGCTTCTTTGACGGTACTCGGGAGTTTGTTCCACTCATAAGAACATAAGAACATAAGAACGAAGGAACACTGCAGAAGGCCTACTGGCCCATGCTAGGCAGGTTCAAGTCTCCTACCGGCTTAAGCCAATGCACCCAACCTAGTCAGGTCAGGTCACCTTGACTTAAGGGAGGAACACGGCAACAGTCCTGGTAGCACAAGCTAATCAGGTCCAACTCACACCCACCCACACCCACTCGTGTATTTATCCAACCTATCCTTAAAGCTACACAACGTTCTGGCCTCTAGGCCAGTTTGTTCCACTCATCCACAACTCTATTACCAAACCAGTACTTTCCTATATCCTTCCTGAATCTGAATTTTTCTAACTTAAAACCATTGCTGCGAGTCCTGTCTAGGCTAGATATTTTCAGCACACTATTTACATCCCCTTTATTTATTCCTGTCTTCCATTTATACACCTCAATCATATCCCCCCTAATTCTACGTCTTTCTAGAGAGTGCAGATTCAGGGCCCTTAGTCTATCCTCATAGGGAAGGTTTCTGATACATGGGATCAACTTTGTCATCCTCCTTTTGTACATTTTCCAGAGCATTTATTATCCATTCTGTAATACGGTGACCAAAACTGTGCAGCATAGTCTAAATGAGGCCTAACCAAGGATGTATAGAGTTGAAGAACAACCTGAGGACTCCTATTATTTATGCTTCTTGATATGAAGCCAAGGATTCTGTTAGCTTTATTGCGAACACTTATGCACTGTTGTCTTGGTTTCAGATTACTGCTAACCAGAACTCCTAAATCTTTTTCGCAATCCGTAATATTAAGATCTACATTATTTAGTTTATATGTGGCATGGTTATTGTCCTGTCCAACATTTAGAACTTTGCATTTGTCTATATTAAACTGCATCTGCCACCTCTCCGACCACTGCATCAGTCTATTCAAATCTTCCTGGAGTGCTCTAATGTCCTCGTCAGAATGAATTCGACGGCCTATTTTGGTGTCATCGGCAAACTTGCTGATGTCGCTCTTTATGCCCTCATCTATGTCGTTTATGTATATTGTGAACAGCAGGGGGTCCAACACTGACCCCTGTGGAACACCGCTCGTGACGCTTCCCCACTCTGATTTCTCCCCGTTTATGCAAACTCTCTGCTGCCTATTTGTCAACCATGCCTCTATCCAGGAAAAAATTTCT